GTCTCGAGTGGATGATGTGTATGATTTTATGAATAGCGAACCCAACAACTAGCCAATGGATCAAGAAACAGAGGATATAGCAGGCAATGTAAATAGGTATTATTAACTTCGTAATAACTCCCCTAAGTACAATCTACTTGCTAAAAAGGCATGTCGGCCATTCGTCTCACTAGGCAGTATTCTGGGCTGCGAGTAAGAGAAATAAGCTAGAATGTTAAGGCTAATGATGTGCTTGTATTTTACACACTTTTTAGGCTTAGTTTGTTAATAGTTTTAGTTAATAAAGTTGTATCTTTGTACATATTTTTAGTATTTGATGTTAGTTTGTATTTGTGCAGTCTTACACGGGTATTTTGTATTTTCAGGTACTTTTGATGATATTTAGATACATTTGAGCATAAAAAAAAAGATAATAAAAGTTCAAGTTTGATGTCAATAAAAGTGGAATCTCTTTTAAAGCAAAAAATAAGGAGTAAATACAAGAAAAGAAGCCAAAAAAAGTGACAACCAAGGAGCTAGGAATCGAACCCAGGTCGTTGGGTAGGAAGCAAATGCAGCCAACCAACGAGCTAGTCCTCATTGATGTGAAAAAGATCAGCTGGCCATTAATACATTCCTTTTGAAACGCAGCAAAGAACAAAAAGTCAAAGCTAGAATCGAACGCGCGACCTCTGCTACATGCTTAAACACTTCGTCCGCTGGGCTGTTACACACTGTTGGAACTTTACTGCGTTTTCTTTTACATATACTCTTCACGTCCGTAAATTTCAGCAAATTAATGATTAATTATCTTATCATTATAAGGCTTAATCCATCTCCTTCCACACTTAATCTCGATCCAACTTCTCTCTACACCTCCCAGAATCATTTCCTCCTCCTTCTCTCTTCATTCTTCACTTCCAAATCATCAACCCATCTTCAACCACAACTAATCACTTTCTCATCCAAGACTAAGTCAAGATTAGCACCGAGCTCCAAGGATTATCATCTATCACAAGTTTGATCTTCCTTATCTCTTTAAATCTTGTACTTTAATCATGAATTCATCTATTTCTAAGCTTCCAAACATGTATAGCTAAATAAATTTGGGGCTAGAAATTGGTTAATTAATTGTTCTTATCATGTTTTAATTTGTATTGATTTTAATTGTTAAGTTTGTTCTATTTAGATTGTTGTGTCCATAAAATTAACTAAGTTATGTTTGTGATATATATGATGAGTACTCAATCATAAACATATTGTTTGTTAAATACACAAATGAACACTTTCTGAACACACTGTTAAACTTCTTTTACCTTGTCCCGGATTGAAGTTTTACGGGGGAATTTAATTATTTAATTATATTATTTACACCACGGGGTTGGGTAAATAATATAGTTAATAATTAAGGTTGTCGTTGCACTTAAACAACTAGTCTCGTTTTGGCCATCACTGGGAAATGTTGACTAGTTACTTATTTTAGATGACTTGTGTTGGGTCCTAAAATATTTATCCACAACTTCTCACAATCTATCTACGAATAAAATTAGCAATTATTTCTTTCAATTAAACATTGAACAATTAGTTACCAATTTCTACCCCTACTTACTATTGGTTGAACTTTGTGTTGATAAAAATCTCTCATCTCAATCACTTTTATTTTATTGCTTTTCCAAGCAACCAAAAAAAAAAATCAAAAGAAACGCACTCCCAACTTTAATCCTTAGTTTGTGCTTAATTATTTTATTTCCCGCTTCTCTGTGGTTCGACACCCTACTTCCTTGGATAAAAAAAAAAAGTTGCGTGCCCATTATATGCTACACACCAACTTGGCGCCGTTGCCGGGGAAGCGGTTTTGAAAAAATAAAATAAAAGCATGAACTTTTGGTTTTAGTTATTGTAAATTGTGTGTATATTATTTTGTTGTTATCTTGTTTGCTTTTGCAGGTTCAAAAAAAAAATACGAGTGATTAATTAAAGTTCAAAAAAAAAAAAAATTGAACTGTGATTAATTACCTTATCTGAGCATTGGAGTTGGACACTTTGACTGAACATATATCTGGACATTTAAACCATTGGACATATTGTCACATTTTAATTCAAAGGATACTCCGCCTTTATGGTCGGACCGCTAATTTGTACATATTAATTGAACGAATAATCCGCCTATATGGTCGGACCGATTACTTGAACATAGTAATTTAAAGGATACTCCGCCTATATGGTCGGACCGTTTATTTTTCTTTTTATGGTGGTTAAAACCCCAACTTTTTAATTTTTGCACTTTAATTATTGCAATTTAATTTATGCACTTTAATTTCAGCATTTTTTTATTTTGCATCCCCAAGCTTGTCGGCCGTGTCCGCTTGTTGGTGGCGTGCACTTTTTATTTTATTTCTTAATAATCCCCAGACTGTCGGCACAGCTGCATTTTGGTAGAGACTGTATTTATTACTGTAGTTATTTTTTTTCTTCTCTTCTTCTCAAATCACCATATCTGTCGGCCCTACCGCATCCCGGTGAATTACTGTATATATTAATACTGCTTTAAGGGCTCACTAGTCTTATTCGGTTTATACCAATTGACTACGTGCGAACCTTAATTAATTAATTAATTCCACATTTTTTTTTCTTTTCATCTCTCTCTTTTCCCAAACCTGATTCCCTTCTACTTATGCTTACACGTTCACGTGGTGCAAATTGTGAATTGTTATTCTTCCCTGACATTGAAAAGCACATACGTGAACAGAAAAAAATAAAAAAAATGTCAAATGATGTTGTTGTAAATGAGCAGGAACCAGATCAACAAATCGTGGATCAGGTTACAAGGACCAGGAAACCGTTGTATGATTATGTTACGCCTCCCGTGGATGAGCATGACAGTGTTATTCCACCGGAGGTTAACATGAACCAATTTGAAATCAAGCCTGCTATCATCCACATGGTTTCAAACGATCGATTTGGCGGAGCGCCAACGGAGGATCCAAATAATCACATCACAAAGTTCCTTCGAGCTTGCAACACCTTTAAAATCAATGGTGTGCCATCTGATGCTGTCAGACTACGCCTATTCCCATTCTCTCTACGGGATCGAGCTCAGAGTTGGCTTGACTCTTTTCCGGACAATCACTTCTCCATTTGGGATCAACTTCATGGTGAATTTCTCAAAAGATTTTTCCCACCATCTAAAACGGCGAAAATCCGGAGAATGATTCAAAATTTCAAACAAAATCCCAATGAGCCCCTGTATGAGGCTTGGGAAAGATTCAAAGATCTTCAGCGACAATGTCCACATCACAACATCCAAAACTGGCACTTGATGACGGCTTTCTATGAAGGCCTAAGTGAAAATTCTCGGATACTTGTGGACGCGTCCGCAAATGGATCATTCATGTGCCTAGAACTTGAAGAGGCAGAAGAATTGATGGAACGCATTTCATCAAATGGATCAACATGGTATTCTGAACGATCATCTGCTCCACCAAAAATCGGAGGCATGTACGAAGTTGATCAAATGTCTGCCATAACCACAAAGGTCGATAACATGATGACTTTGATCCAAAAGATGGCACAAGTCTCTCTTGTGCAAAACTCTGCACCAACTCCACCTCCTGCTCCTGTTCTTATGTGTGAATCTTGCGGTGGACAACACAATCAGTCCACTTGTCCATGGGAATCAATGGAACAGGTTGACTATGTCAACTACAACCGGCAGCCCCAACAAAATCAGTTTGGTAATTTCAATCCTCAAGGAAGAAACCATCCCGGTTTTTCCTGGAGCAATCAAAATGGAGCTGCTAATCCACAACAAACTTACCGAAGTGCACCACCAGGTTTCCAAAATCAACAACAACAATTCAGAGGTGGCCAAGGTATTGTGAACCAGCAACAATATAAATCCACTCAAAATCTTCCATACCCTTCAAGTCAACAACAAAAACCACTTCTTCCCACTCCTGAAACAACCCAAACTCCCATCCTAGAAAACATTGTTGACCAACTTCTCAAGTCCCAACTATCTCAAGCTGAAACCCTGAAACAAATCACTGAAGAACTTGGTCAACTCCGGGCTCACAACAGGATGCTTGAGAATCAAATTGCTAATCAAGCATCTACATCATCAACTAAGGTGACGGGTAAGCTACCTGCTTGTCCTGAAAACCCGAGAGAGCAAATGAATGCCGTCACTACTCGGAGTGGGAAGCAACATCAATCCTTGCCCCTTTCTAGTGACGAACAAGAACATGAAGTGTTGGAGGAAGGGGTCGTGCAACAACAGAAAGGTGGAAACAATAACAATGAACATGATGTCGGTACCATGCCGAAATCATCTGATGATCGTGAGGGGTCTAAGAAACAAAGAGAAAGTCCGGTAAGGAAATACATTCCCCCAGTTCCTTATCCGAACAGATTGAAGAAAGCTAATATGGAGGAGCGGAGAACTAAATTTTTGAATGTTATCAAGCAATTGGATATCTCAATTCCTTTGCTTGATGCCATTACAGAAATTCCTTCATATGCTAAATTTCTCAAATATATTCTCACAAAGAAGAAGGAGAATCCATCCACTGTTGCAGTGAGTCAAGAATGCAGTGCCATCATCCAAAATAAAATCACACCCAAGTTACGTGATTCTGGAAGTGATAGGCTCGTTCCGTTCCTATCTTTCACTCATAATTTGGGTGTTAATTGTCTAATTTTTATAATTAATCGGGTGACTATTAGGAATTTGAGTGAAAATTTGCTATTTTTCGGTCCCGGTGGCAGTCATATTGGAAATAGTATTTTTTCAACACAATTTGACATTTTTGGAGTAATTTGATTGTAAAGTTACATGTTATTAGCAGTTGTGGTGAGTTGTGATTTTACAGGCCAAATTTGCGGTGAATAATATATTGTTTGGGCCGAATCATTTGTAGGTTACTTTATTGAGTGAAGTGCAAAAAGAAGAAAAAGGAGAACGAGCAGCCCAAAATGAAAAATGAGCTGGGTTTTTTTTCCCCTGGATAGCAGCCGCACCGCACCATTCTATTCTTTCTCAACACAAAAGCACAGCCACTGGAAGATTCATTCCCTCTGTTCCTTTTCAATTAGCTATAGCAGCAATTCATTTTTTTTCCTCGTAGCATACAAACGAGCATGCCGCAGCAGTAGAGTTCATATCTGTTCTTTTCATTTCTGAACAAAAGCAGCCGCATGAGTTTTCTTTTTCCGTTGGATGAACATAGTGTTAGCAAGCAGCAGTTCTTCATTCTTTTATTTGGAATCAACCACACTAGTAGGATTTCTAAACTACACTCCTCCTTCAATTTCTTCCAAGTTAATTTAGATTCCAAACATTAATTGTAAGTTCAGTATACTTTACATTACTTCTTTCAGTTTTAGATTAAATTTCGAATTTGTTTTTCCCCAAACAATTACTCTAGTTCAGTTTTTCTAGCCCTTATCATGTTTATCAATATTATTGTGATGTTAGTTTTAAATATGAGTAGCTAATTTCATATAGGGTTTGAATTGGGGCTAGGGTTCATGGGTTCTTGAGGGTGTGAATTTAGTTCTTTAAAATTCAATTAATTTTCTGGAAAATTGTATAAGATTAATCATAATTGTCTATATGAATTTGATCACCTCATATATGAATACTTGGATTTAATTCAATTCTTGTCTATGAGAAATTGAGTTCAATTAGCTCAGGTCTTATACAAGCAATCTGATCTTAGAAATAAGTTACGATTGTCGAAATATGATTTAATTCTTGTCTATGAGAATTTATTTCATTTTCTGTCCAGGAATAATTGAAAATTAATTTACTTAATTCTAATCCGGAAAGAACACCCAGAACCCGAACCATCCAATTTGAACTCTGCTTTTATATCTAGAATTAATTTAATTATTTGTTTTCCTCTCTACTTATTTTTGCACTCGCTATTAGTCAGTTTATTAGTCAGTTTTATTTTCAAACCACTCAAAAAATATTTATTCGGAAAGATTACCATGACTTGTGCTAGCCTGTGATCACGGACTGTATTTAAAACTTCCTTTTTGCCACTCCTTGAGAGACGATACTCGTGGTCTGGTTATTCTTCGGATTAGCCAACTACGTTTTACTCACTATAAAATACACCGATCAAATGGCGCCGTTGCCGGGGAGTGGCACGGTTGTTTGTTAAGTACTTTTCTGTGGAATAGGTAAAAGCAAGTCGGTGAGACTTTCTATCTTTTTTCTGTTATTTGTTTGTCTTTTTTTGGTGTTCTTTGCACGTGAACTAAGCTGCAGGAACAAGTGTATGCGCACTCGCTCCTCGGGGGAACAAGATTTAATTGAAGGGTATTCTAATCCTGAACGCTTATTCCGAGGAAGAGCTAAAAGGAGTTTACTAGAAGACTTGAAGAAAATGGCTGATCAGACAACTCTAGAGACGTTGACGCCTAATTATGTGGCGAGAAATAGCATTGGGGCACCCACAAATATACACTGGTCATTGTGGATGACTTCTCTCGGTACACATGGACCAAATTTCTGAGGACAAAGGATGAAACAGCTGCAACCATCATAACCTTCATCAGGACAATCCAAAATTTTCTACAAAAGAGTGTGGAGATCATCAGAACAGATAATGGTACCGAGTTCAAGAATCAATCTCTCGCTGATTTCTATGAAACTCAGGGTATCACACAGCAATTCTCTGCAGCAAAGACACCACAACAGAACGGGGTCGTTGAAAGAAAGAATAGAACTCTTGTTGAAGCAGCACGCACCATGCTCATTCAGTCAAAGCTTCCCCATTTCATGTGGGCTGAAGCAATCAACACGGCGTGTTTTACTCAGAACAGAACATCAATTCACAAGCGCTTCAACAAGACCCCATATGAAATCCTCTTCAAAAGAACTCCTGACATCTCATTCTTCAGGGTGTTTGGCTGCAAGTGCTTTGTTCTAAATGACAGAAATGAAAGAAGCAAGATGGATCCGAAAGCTATCGAAGGAGTTTTCATTGGATACTCCACGCAATCCAAAGCATATCGGGTCTATTTACGAGAACGCAGAACAGTCATTGAGAGTGTCAATGTTGCATTCTATGAAATGGCTGACTTTGCTTCTGAACATTTCTTGATAGAATCCACACTCTCTACTCAAAGGAAGCAACCTGATGGAGCTGAAGCAACGAAGCAAACAACGGCTGACAGTGCAATTCTTGATTCTCTATTTGAACATTTCTATGAGAATGCACGCACTGCCAACCAACAATTATCAACAGAAGCTGCTCAATCACCATTCATGCCTGATCTCAGTGAAGAAGAAGCTGACTCACCTCATACATCAGATCACGAAGATACTGAGGATCATGGCACGACAGCAACACAAGCAACTTCACCAGCACAAGTTTCAGAAATACCAGCTCAAACAGGTACAGCACCTGAATCGACCCCTGCGCACTCCACTCCTCAACAAATCACATCTACTACTTTTGAGGACTCGGATCACTCCATCATAACTCCAATCCCTCTAACTCATGAGCGGAAATGGACGAAGGCACACCCTGCAGAACAAATTATTGGAGATCCGAGTCGTGGAGTTTGCACAAGAACGGCTACAGCAAATGAATGTCTTTTCTCCTGCTTTATCAGCCAATCTGAGCCAACCAAAGTTTCTGAAGCACTAGCAGATCCTGACTGGGTGATTGCAATGCAGGAGGAGATCAATCAGTTTGAAAGATTAGATGTATGGACCCTGGTGTCGAGGCCCCCAAAGAAAACAATAATTGGCACTAAGTGGGTCTTCAAGAACAAGAAGGATGAAGACGGTGTAATTATAAGGAACAAAGCCCGACTGGTTGCAAAAGGGTACAACCAACAAGAAGGAATTGACTATGATGAAACCTTTGCACCAGTGGCCAGAATTGAAGCAATCAGGTTGTTCCTTGCTTATGCTGATTGACGTGCACTTTGTCGTGGTGTGCACTCAAAATAATAATACAATACAACACTTATACGTAGTATAGTGTAGTAAGGTTCGTATCCACAGGGAAAGGAATACTTCTCTCTTTATAAACTAGTAACAAAGGGAGGGTTTAGGTTTGAGTGATTTAATTAAAATTAAACACGAAGATGAACGAGTTATGTGATTTAATTAATGAGAAGAATACCTGGCTTTGCTTTTATCCACTTAATGAAATGTTCGTCGATCCCGGTTATATTTTTAACTATCTTCCTCTCGAATACTCAATCGAGGAGTATATCCAATTCATCGAGGGTAGTTATCAATAACGAGAAGCGTTCATTAACAAAACTTACTATCGAGTCAATATAGAACAAGCGCCATATATTATCTTGATAGTAGCAATAAACTTAAGATGAAAACGATTGAGATTGATAACCTCAACACAAGCGGTTTATTGGTTTAATCAATATAATTAATTCCCCTTAGATTATTAACCATGAGAAGCATGCATTAGCAATCCAAGTTTACTACCATTGAAAGAACCGAATTAATAACAAGCGTATTAACCGATTGATTCTAGTAATAATTAATATATAGAACAAGACTAGTTGATACTTTAAGTAATGCTCAATATATTAATATGGGATATGAATAGGAAGTAATTAATATTCAAGGAAGGAGATTAAAGAAAATAACTCACAACTTACAAATCATTAAGCTTCAAAGTAGCAAAACCAAGATGAAAGAGTTTAGCTCCTCATTTGGAGACTAAACATGATGAAAAATATAAAGAAAGAACTTGTCTAACCTGAGCTAAGAAGTATATGTGAATTGGTCATTTATTGTGGAGGAAATGTGGTGTATTTATAGGCTTTTTAGGCCTGCAGGGTCGTGTACCCGATCGGGTTTTCAGCTCAACCGATCGGGTAAGGGTTATTTCCTCGAAACTGAAAATCTGGGGTCATACCCGATCGGGTATGTCGGCCACCCGATCGGGTATGGATACGCGATCGAGTTAAAAAATCCTCCTGCATGTTGCCTTGTTCCCGGGTTGATTCGATTTGACTTTTCAGCAACTTACCCGATCGAGTATAGAGCATACTCGACCGGGTACGCTACCAAAAATCAGAATCTTCATCTTTTCTTGAAATCTTTGCACCTTCCTTCCATTTGTGATGTTCACCAATGGTCCCTAGAGTGGTCTTGGACCTGTTTGAGCTCAGAACCAACATAATCTAAACAATTTACAAACATTTTACAAACTAAATTATTACACCAAAAGTGTGTAATTTCTAGAGTAACAATCACTCAAAACTAATCAAAAACACAATTATAAACACGGAAATAACATGAATGTCAACTCCCCCACACTTAGTTCCTTTACTCGACCTCGAGTAAAACCAAATGTTTATACAATGTTTATCACAAGATCATGAGTTCATAGAGAGGAAGAAATAAGAAACTAAAACCACCAAGTATAGTGAATGAAGTTACAAAACAACATTTCCTTGGGTTTAACGGTCTTCTATGCTTCCTATTTCTTCTTTTTCTCATCTTCTCTCCTTCTTCTTCTTCTTCTTCTTCTTCAAGAGATAGTGTCCTGCAAAATAGAACAAATTTTTCTCTCATATCTCTCATTTTGCCTAGGAGCCTTTTCAGGTTTTCATCCTAGCATCTCTTTTCTTTTCCTTTTCTTACCACTCACTCATTCATTTTTTTTTGTAAGCCCTTGTTGCTTAGATTGCCCTTTTGGGTTTTCAACCTAACTAGCATTTCATTTCTTTTATTACATTTTTTTTTTGTTTTTTTTTTTTTGTTTATTTGTGAAAAACTAATACAAGAAAATAATGCTTCGTACAAGGTAGAAATAAAGGAGTGTACATACCACAAGATAAATCTTCCTCCCCCACACTTGAAGCATGGCATTATCCCTAGTGCCCGCCCTCGCCACCATAGTAGCCTCCTCCAAAGCCGCTCCCATGCATATCATCACCGCCTCCCTCTCCCATAGTCGTGTCTCCTCCATCATAGCCGCCACCCGCCGGAACTAGAGCCACCGAAATTTCCCCAATCGGAGGGGTTATACCATGAAGGTGCCGGTGGAGGTGAGGTCATGGATGAAAACCCGCCAAGTTGGGACATGTATGAATATGTCTGCCCATACATCCTCCGGTAGTCTTCTTCATACCTTTGCATGTCGGCCGCCCGTTGTTCCTCCAACCTTTGAAAAGCCAACCGTTGCTCCGCTCGGTAAGCATCAAACTGCCGGTCTCTTTCTTGTTGCTCATTCCGGTAGTGGCCTATCTCTCCTTGAAGTTGGGTGAATTGCTCTCCCATTTTGGTGTAGTCAAGGCTCATTGTTTGGAAACCGGTTAAGAGGGATTGTTGACCCGCCAAGAGTTGTTGGAAGAAGTCTTGTGGTGGCGGGTTTTGGGGGAGGTCGGGGATATCATGTTGGACATGTTCATATCCCTCTTGGTGCTCGGGTTGCTCCGGTTGGGGGTTGGGTTGTTCGGCTTGGTCGGCTTGAGCTTGGAGATGAGGTGGAATGTTGTTGGGGAGGAGGTAATGTGGAATGTGGGCGGGTTCCATCTTATACCTAAGTCTAGGTAATTCATCGCATGGGAGGGGGAAGTATTTGACCGGTTCGGGGTACTTCATGTGCCATCTATATCGTTGGGTTCCGTTGTGGTCTAGAGATTGTGGCATTATCCACATAGCCAAATTTGGAAGCCAAATGCATGATGACACCCCCTAAAACAATGTTCCCCCTTTGGTGATAGCCTTCTCTAGATGTTCCCAAATCAAGTTGCAAATGTTGAACTCAACGGGATTGCGGAAAAGAGCAAGAGTGAGAATGGCTACATCCCCTATCCGAGTGTGATGGTTGTTGGGGCGACCAAGCAAAGAGTTGCACAAAAATTTGAGGAAAATCCGGAGAAGGGGATGTTGCACGTGACTTATGTAAAGTTGGGACGTGCTAAAATTCCGTTCTCCGGTCATTTTGCCCCAAAGATTATATGCATCCATAGTGTTATCCGGAATTTCCCTTTCATGTGGGAATCGGAGCCCAAAGTGTTCGGCAAAATCACGTCTCGTTATAGTGTATTCGGTGTTCATCAACCGAAACGAGAGTGTATCATCATAGAAATGATTTTCATCCAACACAAACTTGGCCGAACTAAAAAATTCATAGATGACTCTTTCATTACAATTATATTGCACATTAAAAAGCAAGCCCATATGCAATTCATCAAACAATTCTCTCATGCCATCCAACAAACCTAGTGAATTAAGAGCTTCATGGCATAAAAAGCGAGAAGGAATGACTTGCCTTTTTAGAATGGCCACAAAGCGCTTCCGGTGATCCCCCGGGCCAAATTGAACATCCTCATAGCCTCGGATAGGCCCCCTTGAGTTAGAGCCCTCCGGTTGGTTCCTTTTTGGTGCCATTTTTGAGCAAATAGGTAGGTTGGGTTCGGATTTGGGGTTTTGGGGGTAGGTTTTCGGATTTTTGGAAATGGAGAGAGAGAGAGGGATTAATTGGTATGAGGTTGTAGAGAGGAGTGTAGGGAGTGTTTTGGTGGTGGTTTGGGTGGATTTGGTTGAGATATGAGAGAGTAATCAAAGCTTGAAGGTGTGAAAATGGAGGATTTGGGAGAAGGGATTCGAATTTTGGGATTTTGGGGAAGAAGAATGGTTGGATTTGGCCTTTGATTTGCGTTTAAAACCCGTATACCCGATCGGGTACCCCGATTACTCGATCGGGTATACCTCGGTTTGTTCTTGTTTTGGGATCGGGCTCGATCGAGTATACCCCATACTCGATCGAGTTTTCCTCGCCGTATGTTTTTCTGTAAATATACTCGATCGAGTATATTAATATACCCGATCGGGTATATCCCGTTTTTTTTCAAAAATGGTTCCAGGTTTGTGTATTCGATCGAGTATGGGGTATACTCGATCGAATTTTCCTCGCCGAAGGATTTTTTGGAAATATACTCGATCGAGTATATTAATACACTCGATCGGGTATTACGGCGGATTTTTAAAATTGGCTCCAGGGGTCGTATACTCGATCGAGTATGTAGTATACCCGATCGGGTATTCGATCGAGTATGAGGTACTCGATCCCAAATCTTGCCTTTTTACCCAATACCCGACCGAGTAGGACTGTTACTCGATCGGGTACATTAGCCTGGAATTTGGTTTGGTCCATTTTTAATCCTCTTTTTGGCATGGATCCGGTCGGGTAACCGATGATGATCGATCGGGGGTTTCCCCAGGCCTTGAAAATTTTATTTTTCCCTTATTTTCTTTTTGAGAATTTCCTCCCATTCTCCCAAAAGTTGATATTCGAAAAACAAAAATCAAAAAGTGTGTACCTTTGCTTGGGTTGCCTCCCAAGAAGCGCCTTAGTTAACGTCGTGGCACGACGCCATAGCTTTGTTCATCCTTCATAGATTGGATCGAAGAGATCCATGCATTCAACGTTCTCTTTTTGGAAACCCTCAAGGAACGGTTTGAGTTGATGTCCGTTAACCTTGAGGATTTTGCCGGTGTCGAGGCTTTTTATTTCAACCGCTCCGTGGGGGTAGACTTTGATCACCTCGAATGGTCCTTCCCATCGTGATCTCAGTTTACCGGGGAAAAGACGAAGGCGTGAGAGAAAAAGAAGGACTTTGTCTCCGATTTGGGAAATCCTTTCTCATTATCAATTTATCATGCCATACCTTCGTGTAAGGAATAAATGTATTTAGATTTTGATGATGCTAGGATAATTAGATTAGAATTTTAAAGTACCCCAATTAGATTTTGTGTATTAGAATTTTCAATTGTAAGTATTAGTGTAGTCGACGATCAGAGTTGCTCTTTTATGGATCTGATCAGAAATACTCTATGAAAACTGCTTTCAGAGTTGCTCTCAGGAAGTCATGAGAGTTGCTCATCAGAGAAGCATCAGAGTTCGATGTATAGCTTCATCAGAACTCAACATCAGACAAGCATCAGAGTTCCCACACCAGAGCTCGACTTGAAACTACATCAGAACTACTCATCAGAAAGCCATCAGAATCCAACGTATCAGAAGACTCCGATCAGAGTCCGACTAACACTTAGAAGAATTTCAAGGCTACTTCCAACGGCTGGGAAATTCATCAACGGCTAGAAGATTTTCCGTCCAAGGAAAGTATTTAATGCTCATTAAATAAGCCTGATACGCTTTGGATTGATTGCAAATGATTGACCGAGAAATCTGGAAGATATATTATAAAAATAGAAAGCTTCCAAAACAGTGGGTCAAGTCAACAGTACGTGCATTTAATGCAGTTGTCTCCTCCTCCAACGGGTAGACAACCCCAGTATATAAGCTACACACCGAAGAACAGGAAACGAACTTTTGCTACAACTTTTGCTCGCCTTAACATACAAAAAGCTCTCTTGAGATTCAAAGCTCTACAATCATCAACAAGACAAGCTTACGTTGGGAAGATTCAAATATCCATATCCTCCAATCCCAACACACAGCAAAGTTCATCCTGCTCTTCAACGAAACAAGTTGGAGAAAACTCTGTTTTCAGAACATCTTCTGCAAAGAAGGGCGTCCAAGTAACTGCAGTAGTGAAGTGGTGATACTTCCGGGAAGCTGAGTGAAAGGACCAGTCATCAGGAAGCAGGACTGCATCCCGGGTGACATCTAGACTTGAAGAAGACGTGGAGAACTTCTTAAGTGCTAGGGACTAAGGCGTTGTAATTGATCCTTACAAGCTTAGTGGAACAGTGGACTAGAGGAACGTGTTGTTCCTTGAACCACTATAAAAACTCCGGTGTCATTTACTTTACTGCATTTACTTTCTGCACTTAGGATTTTAACTGTTTAACTCTAAGACTTGGAATCTGTGTTCAGCAGATCTTGTTTTCAGAGTTATCAGAAAGGCACTTGCCTTAGTAGTTGTTTGAGGCTACCCAGAACTCTTATCCGCTGCAAGA